GCTGCCTTTAGAACTCTGAGTCAATCAGAGATTGAAATGACTGCGCCATCTGGAAAATGAACATGAAAATTTGGCCAAAGTAGCAATAACATTCAAAATCAGTATGATAAAAGCGTATTGTTGGCCAACATTTAGAGGTGTTAATTAATTTTTTGGTCTTGCTTGCGAAGGCAACTTCCAGACATTGACCTCCGTCCAACCTGGCATCTGCATGTAGTGATAAGCTTCATAGTTGGCTTGCTCAAATTATGTGGTTATAAAAAATATAGGATCTTTTTTGGGGGAGCCTAATTATGCCCCTTTCTATTTGTATCTGCATACTTTATCTCATTAGCATAGATTCCATGCTATTTATGCAGAGCTATAATGAGAGTTGAGTGTTCCTGGCCTCTCCATTTTTTAATTTCTTTTTTTAAAAAAGGAAATATATGGAAACTGAGCATATTGGAGGCTTATCTATGAGTTATTATTTTGAAACATGAAAGCTTTATCACATTTATCATTTTCCTGCTCTGAGAACAGCTTACTATGCTTAAGTGGTTATGTTTTTGGAGGGGAAATAATGTAGAGTTTCAATATATCTTTCTGTGGAAAGTTATTAGGGAGTTAATAACTGTGACTGTATTGATTATCTGTGCATTTTTGAGATCAGAAAGGAAAGGCTCTATTAGAATATGTAAAGTGAAGCAGATGCATATATTTCATTCATTCATATATATAGAAATAGAAATATATAAATTTTAGTCATAATTTAATCATACAAATATAGTGAGCAAATAGTAACTTGGATCCAACGCTGTCTGTTTTGAGAAGAAAGTTGCTTTCCTTTCTGTTTATTTTTCTTGACTTCTCCCCTCCCACTGCTGTAGCTTTGTATGTATGTATGTATGATGTATGTATGTATTTATTTTCTATACTGCCCTATACCCAAAGGTCTCCCCCCTTCAACTTCCCGTTTGTGTGTGTGTCCCAGCCCCAATGGGTGCCTTTTTAGTGGTGCTGTAGTGGAGAGGAGAGGCTGGCAAACCAATGCTTAATGAGCAGAGTTCTGTCCACATGTATTAAGGTTCAAGCTTTTGTCTAGAATATGTCTCATGTCTAGAATCTTATCACCAACCACAGTGCATATTCAGAAAGCAATAGGTCTGAAGCTAGTTCTTGATGAAAGCAAGGCTTGTGTAATGGTTCTAGGGGTTGCTCGTGTGTAAGCCGGTGCAAACACCTGGCTGGGTTGCCTGAGTGAACCTTTTCTGTCCGGACAGCCACTCTCTCGTGGCTTTCTCAATCGCTGGCAGAATCCGTCAGTGGGCGTTTCTTAAACTACTTCCAGCAAAGAAGCTCTTTGACGCCTAGTCTCCTCCTACTCTCTCGGCGCGAAAGCCTTCTGCGCAAGGAGGGCGTAGGCAGCGGAGGACCTCTACTCTCCCCACTGGTCCCCAGCAAGGAGTCATGGGACCGCCTCACCGCTTCCCCCATCTGCCCCCCTTCTCCACTGGTGCTACGCTGATTCTCTTCCCCAGAAGATGGGCTGCCTCTCCCACTCCCGGGACGCTCTCTGGAATCCCTCTGGATTTTGCTCTCTCCCTCCGGCACTGATGGCAGTTCCCTGACAGCTTGCTAACTAAACAACACATTGTCATGGTCTAGTGGCTATATTCAGGCCCATATATCATTGCAAAAAGAAAAAGGTATTTATCATACATTTGTGAGGTAGGTTGCGAGGTCTAGCAGAGGAAACCCTTCCTACTTCCATGACTGTTCCACATCCAAAGTAGTGACTAAGCAAAGCTTTTCCTTCATGCAAGCCAATAAACACAAAGTAAAATAAAACACTGCCCCAAGTCTGGACAACTTTATGATCTTGCCCAGTCCTCTTTGTTTTAGATGGCCTTTTGCTTCCTTTTTTCAATCTGACTGATAGCCTGACTGAGGAGCCATTAACAAGACATAAGAAACTAGAACACAACACAGACTGAGTACAAGCCAACAGATACAGTGCCTGAAATTAATGGCAGATTCCAAAGCAGATAAAAGATCACATTTGTTTATTTTATTTGTTCAAAGTTCTTTTTAAAAATATCTTGCTCTTTAGCAAGAAAGAAACATAGACCATTAAAAAACAAAGGCAGCCCTTGCCCCTTGGGCTTTACAATCTAAAAAGACAGGACAAAAAGGGAAATGGCTTGGGAGGGAGGAGGAACTAAGCAAACTCAAGTCAAGTTGTTTGCAGGTTTTCCTGATGACCAGTGCAAGTGGAAAAGTTCAAGAAGAGGAGGCACAAAAAGTTGCTGGTCTCTCGGCTGTGATGAAGGAGTGGTCCTGAATCCCTCCTCCTCCCTCCTCCAGTACAACCTGATGTAATGGCTGCTGCCAGGTTGCAGTTGATGGGAGTAGAACCTGACCAAAGATGTCTCTCTGTGTGCGTGTGGCAGTGTTAAGTCCACAAATCACTTACTTGTCATCAGGAACCAAAGATAATTTCAACCTGTATTTACTTTTTTGTAAACAGGACATCAGGTATGTGTGATAAGCAACAGCAATACTGTTCTTTAACAATATAATTTATTAGGATTGTTGAAAGTGTTTATTATTATTACTTAAGAAAAAAGACTTTCCAACTGAAGAAATGCATGGTTTTTTAGAGCTTCAAAAGAAAACCCGTTTTGCCATTTAGCCATAAAAGCAGTTAGGAAAATGATTTTTAGTTACAAACAAGCTTTTTGCTTGTTGACACACCGCATTGTGCTCCCACTTTCCAGAGTATGTATTCCTCCCCTTCTGTTATGCAACACAGCAGAATAAAATTAGATTGCATCTAATCATTGGGAATATATTCAGTACAATGATAATGGCTGTTCTTTGGTAGATAATAGGATGGTACATTGTTGGACACGTCTTTCAGCATAATAAATTCCACGTTATCAGACTTAAATTATTTCCCTAATTGCAAAGTCCCCAGTATGTTTAGCAGTGTCATACTTCAGGAACAATCCCACCCAAATTTATGAACATCTGCAAGTTCCCTTTTCTGAGTGTTATGCACATCCAAAAGCATTCAAGTGGCACCAAGTTGCATAGAGTTGTAATTTGCATATGTCAATCATTCTTAATGATCACTTAGTCGGGGGGGGGGCAGTCTGCAAGGTTGGCCATTTGCCAGATAGCTTCCCTTAGACCAGACAATGCTTTTGGGGGTTATGGTATGGTGGCAGGTGGGAGACAATTAGTTCTAGTTGTGTCCCAATCCTCCTGCTGAGGAGGCAGAATGTCTGTGGGGAGACGAGTTAGGTAGGGCAGTGCCCCATTTACCCTAATGGAGCAGCCTCCATTATGGTAGTTACCGGTACCTCTTTTGAGTAAGAACCAACATTCCCAGCTCTACCCAGTGAAGGGGAAAAAATCATCCTGGGATCTTTGGCACATAAAGCAGATGCCCTACTTTTCTAAATTTTCCAAGTCCCTTAAACTGCTTTTGGTTAGAAGGAAGGGAATGGGGATGATGATTTGCGTTGTTGTTGTTGTTGTTGTTGTTGTTTTGTTTTAAGGTTTAAATTTAAAATGGAAATAAAACAATTTTCAGGATAACTACCTAATGCATACCATAATAGAATAACAGTGGTACCTCGAGTTACATACGCTTCAGGTTACAAACGCTTCAGGTTACAGACTCCGCTAACCCAGAAATAGTACCTCAGGTTAAGGACTTTGCTTCAGGATGAGAACAGAAATCGTGCTCCGGTGGCGCGGCAGCAACGGGAGGCCCCATTAGCTAAAGTGGTGCTTCAGGTTAAGAACAGTTTCAGGTTAAGAACAGACCTCCGGAACGAATTAAGTATGTAACCAGAGGTACCACTGTATAATTAAATCACATGATTTCACATATGTCATGGGAGAATAGCTGTTTTCTGAATTTTTGTAAGTGAAAGATGTCACAAAAGGAAAGGATTGCACATCATAGCTGTTGCCTGATAGAAGCAGGGGAAATAGAGGATAATTATGTACAATGATTTGTATTTAAGACAAGTTGAACTGAAACAAACAGGAGGCAGTGTCTGACTATATCAGAATATTGGGCAGAATTCACCTAACTGGCCTCCCATCAGTGGAAGGCCTTGCTCATGGACTGAGCTTTTCTCATTCTTCTCTCCCTGCTCTCCGAAATTGGCTCCTCAGTTCCATGTGTGGGTGGAGGATAGGGGATCGTTCTGTCTGGCAAGCTGGAAGGCTTGTGCAGAGAAAATGATGGGAAGAATGCAATGCTGAATTCCACCCGCTGGAGTTAGTTGTGACTAACAAGTCCATTGGTTTAAATGAGCCTACTTGGAGTAGGAGTAGCCCGTTACCATGCAGGGACCTGAATTTACATTTTGTGGCCAGCAGGGACATGTGCTTTGGTTTCCTTGTTCATTCCTGACACTATCTGAGAAATGTAAATCTGGTTAGTCTGTCCATCTAAAAGGAGCAGCCGGGGATTTAATCCAGAGCCTTAAGCATGCAGAGCCAATGCTCCACCGCTGAGTTTTGTTTCCTGCCTGTGTTGGTACTGCGCTAATGATACTGCAGTGACTAAGAAAGACAAGACCAATAGGCAGAACAAACGCAACTGATTGATCTGCGCAGATTCATTTTCAGGGTGACCCAGCACCTGTTTGCATTTGAAACAATTTCTAAACCGCCTTTAGTTTTTGTGGATTGAAATGGAACTGAGCACCTTGTCCTTTGTTGTCGAAATAACATTACCCTTATTAAATTCTTAATGTTGTTTTTGGTTCTCTCTGTGTGTCTGCTTAGTCACAAAATAGTCTTGCACATAAAGCAGGATTTAAAAACCGATAAGTTGCCTTTCAAAGCAGGCAGTTTGCACTTTGAATTTTTAACAGCTAGAGTGCATTTGATGGGTGTTTCAATTATTGACAGCGTTTTTTTGTTGCAACCACCTTGTTCAGTTTGACAACATGTATGACTTGGCCATAACTAAAATTCTTTTATTTTTCCACCAGCCATATAGTCTTGATGCTGGCAGATGATATGGCATGCAACCCACGAAATCCAAGCCCAGCTACTGTTTTTAGTCACACAAACATGGAACTGAATGTCTATGGAGATGACGTGGAAGTGGATTACCGAAGCTATGAGGTAAAGTATGAAGAAAATTCTGAATTGAGTGTTTGCCAACTTGGTGAACTGGGACACACTAATAGGTTGAGGAGGACATGTGTGTATTGATAGTTTGCCTGCTCAAAGGGTGGGAGGTCCATTTGTGTCAAGAAACTAGAGGGAATTATTTCTAGAGCCACTAGATACGTGTTGAAATAAAGTTCTACCATTTGGTCCATCAAAATCTTGAACCACTGCTTCAGGAACTATCAACAGTATTACCAATATGTGATACTGGAAAGTAACAGTTCTGTTATCTTGCATGGCAGCATTGCTTTGTTGAAAATCTATAAAACTTTATTAATGATTGGGGTTTTTTTTTAGTGCTTAGAACAAGTAGCATTTGCTAAGTATTATTTTACACTGACATTTGAACTGTTTCTATTAAACTTTGCTAACATTTCCTAACATAACGGAGGTAATAGAGCTTGAGAATGAGTCTGAAGCATGGGTTTCCCAAGGCCATATTATACCAATTTTGAAAACAAGTCTTCCAAGATTCCTAACCCACATATACCAGTGCTAGTTGCTTTGCCATTTTAATGGCTTGAAAAGAGAGATGGTGGGGGAGTCTGCTTTCTGGCTGTTTACAAATGCTTGTCACTTGGAATTGATTGTCTTCATCTTAGCTGACCAGGCAGGTGTAAATTTCATAATCCTGTAATTGTATTTGGAATAATAAAAAAGCCTAAAGGCTTTAAAATACATTTTGTGTGTTTTAGAATTGGAGGCCTAGATTATAATTATTTTCATTGCTCAAGGAATTCCTCACCAGTGTGAAGTCTTAATGCTGCCTTGGTTCGAGGCAGGGGGAAGAGAGCTTAGGGAGGAAATAACTCCAAAGTGAATTGGATTTTCTTGCTGAGAATGTGTATATTCTTGAGCTGCAGAGCCATTCTTCAACATAATGAGCAAGTTGGAGATTATTCAAACTCTCATACAAAATGAGGGAGTTATTTAGTAATGAGAGTACTTTAGGCACTTCATGAGCTCTGATAACAAAATGTTTTAGCACACCAAATCACTCTGGACAATTGAAAAGTTAATCAATGGGGCGGGTATGTCTTTGGTGTTTTCAAGTTCCTCAAGGAAATGAGATGTTGGGCTTCCCACTGTTTATAATTGGGCACAGGTATAAAGTTTTGACCTCAGGCGTATCTCTTAGAGGAATTGAGTACATGGCAGCTGCAATAATTTGCAGGCTTCCAAGCAAGCAGCAGAGCAAGCATCCTATTGTTGCCTGGATTAAACAATAATATTTCTGTCGGGGGAGGGGGAAAAGAAGATTTCGTGTCTGCCAATCTGACTTCTCAGAAGAGAATATGTTCTCTCTCACTGTGTTCAGATTTTGGGTTTAGTTAAACAGCCGTCATGAGCCTGATTCATGTGAGCACTTTCTGAGCCTTCTGAATCTGTATACAAACATAGCAGATTGAGGGTTTTTTTTGTGTAAGTTTCTCTGCCCCCCCCCGCCCCCCAAATTGCTGGCCAGATGGACAATCTCTGATCAAATGTTTCTACCACAATAATCTTATTTTCTTTCAGCCTCTGAGGGATTGTAAGTCTCGAAATATATTTATTAACATTTTGCCATGGTAACGCATAGTAACGTTGCTTGGTAAGCAGATACGCAAGTCGTTCCACATAGATAAAGCCAGACAGTGTGACAGGTGTTTAAATCAATGAAGGCACATTAGGAAGACTGAAATGGTGGTAGCCATGTACTAGATTTCATGTGCTTCAGCTGTAAACTTTATTATTTTTCAGTGATAAAAAGTTTTGAATTTTATGAAGAAGAAATTGCACGATGGGGGATTGTGAGGTCTGGTGTTGCAGTCAAATCTTCTGATCTATTAATGAACCATCCTAGGCATTAGTGGCTGTTTTATATAACAACACGCCTTTGGGAGGTGGGGTATGCATTCAAATGCAGGGTATAAGATAGTTAGAAAGGATGATGATCTTCTGTGTTTAGGTTACTGTGGAAAATTTTCTGCGAGTATTAACAGGCAGAATCCCAGCCAGCGCACCTCGCTCAAAGCGTCTGCTTTCTGACGACAGAAGCAATATTCTTATATATATGACAGGTAATTGTATTTCCTTCAACATTTTGCATTGTGATCTTTGCACTGAACATATTTAGAGCAATGCCTGTCAGAGAGGTCTGTTCCATTCAGAGCAGAATACTTCACCTTGCTGAATGGCTTTTCTTGCAGTAGGTTTGCTAGAGTCATGAAAGCGAATGGTTATATCAAACTAATTGCAAAATAAATCAATTCAAGTCATATGCTGAACATACCAAAAAAAGTCTATTTAGGGGACATTACCAGAATGATGATTTTAATGGTCTTCCTGTTAAGTACAGAGGACCACATTTAGCTTGTATCCATGAGTCAGAAAGAAAGCCATTGTGTAATTTGTGTACCTGCAATGCATGTGATGTATACCAGGGCCCACAGCTGGGGTGATATACTAGTGACTTTTTGAAATTGGTCAGTTTAACTGTGAAGAGACATTGAGTGAATTCCTCAGATCTTGAACTGGTTGAAAAACAAAATTAGAGTTCTCCTGAACTTCTTCCTTCAACACTTAATTTCTTCCTTGCAACTACTAAGCACCCTTTTCACCTTCCATCCAATTATACAGTTACCATGCCCTCCTATTCTGCAGCCCAACTTTGTATCCCGATTTTCATCTCTTCTTCCTTCCCTTCCCCTCTCCTCCTCCTCCACTTTTTCAACTCTCCCTTGCATTCAGACTACCCACATGTCCATGTCACTTCCTCCTGTCCTGTTGTACATCCTGTTTTTATGCAAATCTATGTGGCACCGCATATCCTCCTGTGGTGACTGCATGACAACACTCTTACATTTTTACTATATGTAAGAAAATATGTCGTCTCCCCATATTCAAGAACTAGTGATCTCTCTAGTATTGAGGAGTTTGTTATGCTGCACCTTCACTGGTTAGACTGGGGAAGAGGAACTCGCAGTTCAAAAGGAAATTTGTGTGTCTCATGAAAGAAAAATAGTGGTCTAGACAAAAGGGAATGGTTTATACAGATATGATACTGTTAAAGCCTACTCAGTCTCAGCTTGCTGAGGCTGAACTCTGGTGCTTCTTGAATTGTTTCTTTCTTCTCTACCTTTTATCTCCATAATGAATTCTTCATGATGAATGACTAAGAAAGCGTATTTACGTGATGTTGCTTTAGCTTTTAGAACATGTCAATTTAATTTATGCCTTTTCCTCCCAAGGTCATGGTGGGAATGGTTTCTTGAAATTTCAGGATTCTGAAGAAATCACAAATGTAGAGCTTGCAGATGCCTTTGAACAAATGTGGCAGAAAAGGAGGTAAACTTTTGCTCTCTCATTTCTGAATAAATGATGCACATTCATTTTTACTATCTCCTCCAGTTTTCCTAGAGGCAATTGCCTAACAGTCTGTTTACAACCTTATGAAAATGAATAGAGGCATTTTTAATTTTTAATGAATCCAGTCATTATTCCCTTTAGGTTTCTTCTATTTGATCTTATTGGATCAGGAATGAACTCATGGGGCTGTGAACACATTACAATGGAACTTCTCTTAAGCAGAAACTAGCAGTGCCATGTGTGTGTGTGTGTGTGTGTGTGTGTGTATATACACACACACACACACACATATACATATATACATATATACATATATACATATATACATATATACATATATACATGGCACTGCTAGTATACAAATACATTATATCTATCTATCTATCTGTCTATCTGTCTATCTATATCTATCTATCATCTATCATCTATCTATCATCTATCTATCTATCTATCTATCATCTATCTATCTATCTATCTATCTATCTATCATCTATCTAATCTATCTATCATCTATCTATCATCTATCATCTATCTATCTATCTATCTATCTATCATCTATCTATCTATCTGTCATCAATTTATCTGTATATATGTATGTATAGTACACACACACACACACACACACACACACACTAAAAACCATCCCATTTTGCTAGTTTTTTCAGGACATGAACAGTGGAATCCTATACATGTCTGTATAGAACTAAGCGGTGCTATTTTTCTAGAAAAAGAGGTGCCAGAACTCACCATGACCACCTCCCTCTTTCTCTTAGAAATCACAATGGCACCCATCTGAGAGGTGCTGGAACTGAGTTGCAGAGAATTCCTACTGAAAAAAAGCCCTGGAACTAAGTCTGGGATAGGATTGAAATCTTCGATGGCTCCTAATCAAAAGTGTTGATGACCTTTAGGAGCCATAGGAATAATGGCCATGATTTATTTTAAAAAATGGTAGACACAAAATGTATTTGTTTTCTTCCAGGTATAATGAGTTGCTGTTTATCATTGATACGTGCCAAGGTGCATCCATGTATGAACGATTTTATTCTCCCAATATAATGGCTTTGGCTAGTAGCCAAGTTGGAGAAGACTCACTTTCAGTAAGTGTATAGCTTTAATTGTATTAGTTAATAATATATGGATGCTGGAGGTTTGGAATTCTGTAATGAAAATCTCTGCCCTTTAACAGATTTGGTGCTTTAAACAAATGCTACTGTATAAACAAGTCTGCCTGAATGTATTCAGTAGAAGATATTGTTCCTCTGGCGCATGTTTTGCATCTAATTTAGGGTTTTTTTAGATACAGAGAGCAATACTGTAGAGAAATGAAGGCTAGCATGTGAAATGATAAATGAGTTTAAACAGAAAGTAGGACTATGACAAGTTTGGTGGACAAAATTGTGGGAGTAGGGGGGCATTTATTTGATCAGTGGCAGCATTTCCAAGATACTTTTTTTGTTGGGGCCTTCAACTTCCGTCAGCATGACCAACGGACAATGATGATGGGAGTTGTAATTCAAAACATCTTGCAGGCAGCAGGTTGGAGAAGCTGTTCTAAGCAATTGGGCAGCACATCATAGTAGAAGAAGCAATTTTTTTTTAAAAAAATGGGATTCTCACAATGGCTTTTTAATGATTAGTTATTGTATTTTGGATAATTAGACTGTCCACAGAGGGTAACTTGCAAGCATGCAATCGATGTGGGGCTTTTCACCTTACTGCTGAATACGATTGTCACTGAATGTGCTTCACAAAAATTTCTGTGCTTTGATTTTTAAGCATCAACCAGATCTTGGGATTGGAGTTCATTTGATGGACAGATACACATTTTATGTCTTGGAGTTCTTGGAAGAAATCCATCCAGCTAGCCAGACCAATATGAATGACCTTGTAAGTACTAGTTAACTGGCTTTATCAAGTGGTTTCTACCACAACTTTTGCAAGGCTGCTGCATTTAATTAATATAACCCTTTTTTTACAACCACCTGTTTCCCAGCCTGGATGAGATTATTCATATTTTTTTTAGTTGTGAGATTGAGAATCAGACTTGCCCAAGTTTACCTGATTTAGCTTTCAATCTAACATTTTATGTACTGCACAATTAAAGAAACTAATTCCATTAGGCCATTGAATCTTGGCAATAAAGCTATGTTTTGATTTAATGCCATTAAACACTGAAGTTTTGCAAGCCATTGGTCCACTATATGCAATGCTGCCTTTCAGTTTAATTATTGTAAAAATGAGTAACTTGAGCTAAGCTTCAGAGCTGTTGTTTCAGTTCCTGGACTCAGTGGAAATTCTTATTAACCCTATCTGCAGTTATGGTAGCTGCCAATAAAAGCTAATCACAGCTTGGAAAAGGGGCCACAGATCCATTTTTTGGGGGGGCATGCTTTTCATGTAGAGGATCTCTGCTTTAATCCCTGTCATCTCCAACAGGATCAGATAGAAGGTGGTAAGAAAGACCTCTGCTGGAGAGCTGCTTCCTGTCAGTATAGGCAGCATTAGAAAGGTTGGACAAAAAGCCTTCAGGGAGCTTCATAAGTAGGGCAGAATTAACAGTGCAGTCCCAAGCATGTTTACTCAGAAACAAGTCCCTCCTGAGTTTAGTAGGACTTAATCTGTAATTATTATAAATTAGTATAAATAGTGATATCCAGTATATGTCCTACTTGGAAGAGACCCATTGAAATCAGTTTACTTAAGTTAATCTGGATTTCAGTGGGTCTTCACTCAGTACAACTTATTCAGATACAGTACTACCCTAAGGCTATACCAGCTACTGATATTTATTTAAAAAAATCAAGACTAAAAAATCTGCTAGGCAGTCACATCATAGCCGATTAGTAGAGGCCATTCTTAATGTCTGATTTATGGAGCCCAAGTGCAATGACACATTGGTGCCTTCTGCATGTGTTTGGAGACACTGATGAGACAAGTTGACCTGCATATGCTGAAAAACTTCAATTGTTGCTGTTGGGATGGGCAGTCAAGTCTCGGTCCTAGCGCTGTTTTTTCTAACATGATCCAAACGCATGAAACAAGGCTAAAAAAATAGGCACTGAAATGAGATACTCTGCTTCCCTTGTTTGTAGTCAGCTATGTCCTACTCAGAGTAGACCCACTAAAAAATAAGGAACCTAAGTTAGTCCTGTCTATTAATTTAAATGGGTCTCCTCTGAGTAGGACTAGCATTGCATACCTTAAAAGTAACCTGACTGCATAAGTATAATCAGATTATATGGTACAGCAATGGAAGGGAGCAAAATGCGCATCCCAGTGGATTGGGTATAACATGCCTCAAATACCTTTGCATGTCTATAATGTAGCTTCTCTTGAGTGAGAGATTTTGAGGTCCATGTAATGCATTTATGTCCTGTCTTGCAGATTCTAGAGATGGGTTTTAGTTTACATTAAGGGTTACTGGCATGCTCTTTTAAAAGATACGAATTGTGGAGTGGATATATAATATTTGATTATTTTGATAATAGAATGCACAGCTGTTTGAAAGAATTTACCAGCATTTTGTCTACGGAGATTGGTGCAGTATTATTGTTCAATAAGATGGCATTAATTTTGCAATAAGCAGCCCACGCTGACAGGTTTGGTAGTGACACAGAACAGAGGCAGTGACTAATTCTCAGCCTTCTTACTACAGAGAGGACAAAGCTTTTTATTTTTAAATTGCAGCCAAATGCTATCTTAACAAGGCACAAGTATGGGATATAAAGAATCTTGAGTACAAGCCAAGTAGCACAATACTAAGTTGATCTTGCAATTTTGATCAGATTGGCTGCTATACTTTGTAGTCTGTGGAATTCATAGTCTGTGGAATTCAGCAGCAGTGAGCAAGTATAATAATAATAATTTTTATTTATACCCCGTCCTTCCCGGCCAAAACCAGGCTCAGAGCGGCTAACAACAAATGTATAACACATTAACATAAAATCAGGCAATTAATTAAAATACATCCTAAAATCAGATCAGGATCAGAATAAAATCCAATCAGATGGCAACCCACAGATTAGTTTGTGCTGAACTTATATGAGCCTGTGAGAAAAATTGGGAGGCTACTTTCATGCAAGTTCTTATAAAAGGGGAGAGGGAGTCAGACTGAACCCCAACCAAAGGCCTGGTGGAACAGCTCCATCTTGCAGGCCCTGCAGAAAGATGTCAAATCCTGCAGGACCCTGGTCTCTTGTGACAGAGTGTTCCACCAGGCGGGGGCTGGGGCCAGTCTAATCTCCTTAAGGCTCGGGACCTCCAAGATGTTATTATTTGTGGGCCATAAGGTCCTCCATGGGGCATACCAGGAGAGGCGGTCCCGTAGGTACGAGGGTATTAGGCCGTATAGGGCTTTAAAGGTTAAAACCAGCACCTTAAACCTGATCCTGTACTCCACCAGGAGCCAGTGCAGCTGGTATAGCACTGGATTAATGGGATCCCATGGCGAGGACCCCATAAGGAGTCTCACCGTGGCATTCTGCACCCGCTGGAGTTTCTGGGTCAGCTTCAAGGGCAGCCTCATGTAGAGTGAATTACAATAATCAAGCCTGTAAGCTGCCATCTCGAAGGCAGTATGAAAACAATATACCAGTTAGAAATTTTAGTCTGTAACTTGCTGATGGTGGGACAGATTTCCAAGCCGTTTCCTTTCATGGCTTTAAGTTCTACGTTAATTTTTATTTAGGGGAAACTAAGGCTGCTGTGTCATGTGCCTCTGGGGTTAGGCTTCACTGAACACAGTAGGACTTCTTTCTAACTACACATGCACAGGGGTTGGTAAATTCTTTGAAAAGATGGTTTGGCTCCTGCGATCTTGTCCTTTGTGCACACATTCTCTTCTTCCCTTACAAGCCGTCGTTTACTCTTTTGGTACCTAGTAGGGGCAAACCTTTGTTTGCTGTTGCATCAAACCTTGGTTTAAAGCTTTGACATGCACCAAGCTGAGGAGTGGAGGCGAGTCAAGTGGAGGACATGAAATGGAAGGTTGGAAAATGTGTGGGTAAATTTGGAGACGTGCCCAATTAATTGAGCACTGCAAGCTTTGTTTTGATCCGTTATCATGGCAGCTACCTACCTACTAAGGTAGCTTAGTTATTTTAAGTGACTTGAAGTCACTAAGAAGTGGCACAGAAGTAATTTCAATCTGGGTCAGGGATGGCTAACCTATGGCGTTCCAGATGTTGACTCCAAGTCCCCAGCCAGCATGGCCATTTTTCTTATCAGTTGGGGGTGGGAGAGTAGGAACTGAACAACATGGTGAAGGCTGAAGGTTAGCCACCCCTGATTTAGGTTAATCTGGGAAATGTGTGCTTGGCTTTGGCATTAAAAGCAGAACAATAGCGCATCAATAAAGCAGAATGAAAACCTGGATGTTGCCGGTGGGCTGCATTAAGCTTGGTAAGTTGCAAAGTCTTCAGGCTTGCCGTTGACCATATTTACTGACCATTACATTCAATAGAAATGAACACAGTGTCAACAATTGTTTTCTCTTTGACTCTCCCTCATCTACCAGTGTAGTATTGGGGCAAGCACCTGTTTTGACCAATGCACATTTGCCTCCTTTATATAGTTTCAGGTGTGCCCTAAAAGTTTGTGTGTGTCTACACCTGGACATCGGACAGATCTGTTTCAGAGAGATCCTGAAAATGTTCTGATAACTGATTTCTTTGGAAGTGTACGAAAAGTAGAAATTACAACGGAGACCATTTCTCTGGATCCTAATTTAGCACCTCAGGAGACCAGGTATCTTGCTTATTTTATTTCCAAGTTTTGACTTGATTACGCAAAAAAACATTTCGAGGCATTTGTTATTTTTCTAAGAGTTTAAGTCGTGTGTGTGTGTGTGTGTTTGGGTTGGGAATGTTAATGTGTGTATAAACCTGCTTGGTGTTCCTACTAAGCAACAGTGGGCAGTGCTTAGAATGGCACTTGCAGAAATTATTGCTCATTTTATGAATTGTTTTCTATTGTGAATATTAACTTTGGTATTTGTGCTTTTGTTGTGGGAGCCACAGGGGCTGTAGGGGTTGTGGATAAATAGAAGATAAATTGCTACATGGAAGAAAGGAAGGACAATGCAAATGATCTCAATGGAAGCATTATTATTATTATTATTATTAACTTTGTATTACACCATTCATCTGAAGATCACAGGGTGGTTCACAACATAAAAATAGGAAATGAAATCACAAAATACATAATAAAACAAAAGCAAAACAAACCAATAAACCCCTTCAAACAGATGCACTTAAAAGGCTGTGGTGCAGAGGGGACACCAGTATTGTGCTAAGATACCAGTATGTCCATTACTAGCCCTATGCATAGAGGACTAGAAAGGTCTCATGGGGTGAGATCACACAGGCATACTTCAAACTTGATAGGTGATTTTGCATGTGTGAATCAGGTCAAACACCACAGGGACCTCAATATTTTCTGTAGAAGCAGTTTGGCAATTCACAAGGCATCAGTTGATGAATGAGCTACATATATGAATGAGCTACATACATATATAGGCTCTTTGTTTCTACTTCAACATGAAAGTGATTTTCTGATTCTGGGACACACAAATTCAATATACTACCTAAACATTGTGGTTTCAGTCTAATGGGAAGGTGTGTCCTGTTTCTAGACAGAACGCTATAAATCTTGTGCTTACCTTATAGGCTAGTGCAATGGAAATAAACAGTTTTAAAATGGATTCCTCTGTTGAAGCATTGAGGATTTACAGAATTTAAACTTTCAGTAGATTGATTTTATTCATGGTGCTGTATTGCCATCTATTGGAAGGACTTTGGATAAGCAAGAACTGGGTTGTAAGGATTCCAAAGTCTTTTAATACATGCACATACTTAGACGCTACAGAAATCTACCTCTAATGTAGTACCAAAATGTTTACACAAACCATTTATGGCCAATTATTCAAATGTGTGGTTCTCTTTCAAAGCAATAATTAGAATTTTGTCCAGTTTGTAGCCACTGATCTTAATCCTTCCATGTAGCATATTCCCTCATGCTGCAAATAATATAAATCTTCTTTATCATATTACATATAAACATTGAAAAACTTCCATATCCTTATCCCACTGGAATAGTAATTGTGTTTGGGGAGTTGGGGATGGAGCAGCCGTATTACCTTAGGTTCTGCAATTTGCCTCTTCATGGACCTTGATCCTTGAAGCTGATGCTAAGGGTCATTATACGGTGCATGTAGGTGCAAAAGGAAATCGTAGCCCCTATTTTGCTTCCTCATTGGCTGTGCTCAGTACAGAGCAGAGGTAGACAGTGTTGTGCCGGTGGACAGCAGTGTGCCTGACTGTACCTCCTGTGGTGCCTGCAAAAGGTCTTAGTAAGTATCCCCATAAAACTCCACAGTTGTCAGGACCTGGAGTCAACCGTAGGTTAGCAACCAAATCAAACCATGGTGTCAGTGAAGTTAACTCTCTATTCAAGAAATCAAAACACCACAGACCTAGTGTTCCCAGCAGCTCTCCCCAGTAGGTCATGCTCCAACAAGGCAGTTGCGAGGAATGAAAGTCCTTGCCTTCCACCACCCTCTAAGGCTCCTCCTCTCCCGGGCTTTTCCCAAGCAGTCTCGGACTGTTTACACACAACTAAACTCTGCTCTTTTGATTTTTCCGTGTGTCCTAAGAGACCCAGGGGGAGGGGAGCTGGATGCAGCAGGCGGGGGAGACTCCCTGGCTTCTTCAGCAGCCTGCCCCTCCAGCTCCTAACCTCTTTCTACTCTAGCCTCTGCTTCTGCCTCTGAGTCTGGACTACTCCCTGCCATAGCCTCATCGTGTTCACTAAACCCTGTTACTACTTCAGCTTCCGACACCCCCTCCTGCTTCCTCTTCTCCGACTGACCACTCATTGTTGTCCCATCACAATTCCCTTGGCTCTGAACCTTCTTCCCCTGGGGTGCTCTTTAGGGGTTCCCCAGCTGGTGCCACCCACCACTCCACAGCATCCAGCCAGGCCATCACAATAGTATATGAGAGACTTGTTTGCTCTTCCTATTCAAGTCTAGCCATTCCTACATTGAACGTAACCCCTTAAATGTATCCTTAGTTCATTGAATTCTAGGATTTCCCACCTTCATGTGGCTCTCTTGACATTTGGTAGTTATTATCCCCTACCGCAGGACAGCCATTTTGTGTTATGCCACACCCCCACAGCAACCACTTGGGGCCTGGTGCTCACAGCACTTCCTCAAAATTCCAGATGTACCCACTGGCTCAAAGGTTGGATAGCCCTGTTCCAGAGTAATATTCGACTGAGAGAAGGAAGCCATTGCCAATTTGGTAATGGGCAAGCTTATAGAGTGTAGACCTTTCTCCATTTTTTCTACTCAGTCAGCCTAGACTAGAGTAGAGGAGAGGTTGAAGAGCATAAAGGCAATGTGCTATTCAGTATGTGGGAATCATCTCCACGAAAGCTGTTCTGATCTCCTTGAAAATGGGCAGAATGCAGATATGAGGAATTTCTGGCTATGACTTTTTTGTCCAGAGCGTAAGTTATGTGGTCTCCCCATCCAAAAAGTATGGCTATGTAGAATCAGACTATTGACCTAAAAGTGTTGTTGTACAATCTCCCAAGTACACAAGTACATATATAAGGATATTGATGGAATAGGCCTGTCAGAATTGGATGGGCAGAAGCTACTAATGTGTAGAATTCCTGCTGAATCAGTTCAAAGGTCCACCTACTTCACGATCCAACCAGATGTCTATGGAAAGCCCCCCTGCCTGACATCAGGGCAGTAGCTGTCTCCCATTGCTGCTCCCCAGCAACAAATACTGAGAGGTGTGTGATAAACCTAGAAAAGTATATATAGTTATCACGATTAGTAGCCATTGATTGACTTCTCTTTCAAAAATTGCCTAATTCACCTTTAAAGCCACCGGAGCTAGTGGACAATGCTACATCTTCCATAGTCTTGCTGTATTAAGTACTTCCTTTGTCTGTTGTGTTCAGCTCTGTTGAATGAGCCACATCTTCCTTGCAGCCGATGCATGTCTGAAACTCTGACCAATTCCTACCAACTAGAGAGAAGAAATTTGGAGTTCTTGTAAACTCTCAGCAGGTGTTAATGGGTCCACATTGTAGCCTGAAGACACATGATGCAATAATCTTGCTGAAGCTAAACATGTCTGGGTCAGCTCAGGGTCTGGGCCAGAGATCACCTGGGAATCCTGTGCCTTGAGTCCCATGAAGGGAAGGCAAAATATAAACACACCAAGAAGGACATTATTGTTCCTGGTAAGATCTGTATTGCTGTATATATCAAGTGTCTGGTAATGTCTGGACCTTGAATGGGGAGGATAAACACACACACACACACACACACACACACACACACACACACATTTTGTGTCCCAGGAAGTCTCTGCTAAAAGCAATTCTAGGATTCTTTATAGCTGTAGCTCAGCTCATTAAAGCACCAGAATTCAGACTAGGGATTCCAGCAGCTTTCTTAATGTTGCATTTTTGCACCTTGTTGCTACAGCCCATAAATTGTGTAACCTCTGGAGGGGGAGTGTATTGCACTACATGATGTTATATTGGAGGGGCAGGGCTGTACTTCATTAATGTAGACTGCTAATACCAATATATCATCCTTCATATGTGTGTATAAGAATTGCCTCTGTGTGTGTGTGTGTGTGTGTGTGCGTGCAGTCTCAGACAGTATAGTAAACAGATTTAGAAGTATGATGAATAGGATAATAATAGACCTGCACTAACTTGTGGGAGAAAAGTTGACATTCCACTTGGTTGAATGTTTTCAAAAATAATCTGCTCATTTAATTTTGAATAGATGTGGAGTTTGTATTCCCATTGTGATACTTGTTTTGTTTCTCAAACTCTACTTGCTCTCCTAATTGGTTCCCCCCTCTGAGCTCGGACTCAAATGTTTCCTGAATCAATCACATGCTACATTTTCCTTTAGCATCAGCAGGGTAGGGGTATGATCTCTCACTATGGTGCTGCTGAGTAAACTGTTCCTGTAAAGCGATAGAGGTCCTTCTCCCCAGCCACCCTATACTTTCTCTACCATGTTTGTTCTCAAACCTTTTCAGGAAAGCTCTTCACATACAGGCACCCCCCATTTACACGTGTTCAATTCACACGTGACCATGCATACATGTGGCCCCAGAAACCCAGAAGGGGGGGGGTGCGAGACCTGAAAAGCCTCAGCAAAGCCCTGCTGTGCCTCCAGCTTGCAAGAAGGCTCCCCCTTGGAGCCCAAAGAGGACATCCCCTATAATATGATATACTCATATCCAGTTAGCAGTCATATAGCCAGATCTGAACTCACATGAAGCTTCTGGACTATATTTCTGGGTCCTATGTGCAAACATTAGTCCAAACCACTTACTCTGCAACAGGAAAACCCCACGCTGCTCCTATGCATACTGTAAACTTTATGTAGAGAAGAATAATGATTTCAGACAAATCTAGAGCATGTAAGGCTCTAGAGTCAGTCAAGGTCATGCCTGAAAGATGCTCTGACAGCGTTTTTAAAAAACCAAATTGGGGTGTGTGTTTTATTTTTATTTTTGAGGCATCACTCAATCGTTTCCAAACTTAGGCTGTAGAGAGTAGGACTTGGTGGCCACATATCCCAGAGATGACACTCTTGTCTAGTAATTAGAAGGAAATTGTACATTTTCCTTACCATCTGCTTTAAAAGCTTTAGGTCGGAGTGAGAGATGTCTACATCTTACCAGAAGATGGCAGTTGTG